ATATCTCGGCATCGTTACTGTAGCCGCAGCTTTTACGCATAGCCGTAGCTTTTGTTTGTAGTTGATAAGCAGAGCTGGACAGCGCTACTTTGAAATGTAACGCCTCTACCGCTACCGCTACATGCTCTAAATGTAGCGGGCGCTTTCGCTACAACCACTAGATTGTAACGAGCGCTACCGCTACCGCTACAGCAAAATGTAGCGCCGCTACATTCGCCGCTACAATGGCCAAAATTATTGGAAATCTCTAAACATTTCTTGTTCTGCTATTGGGATTTACTCATACACATTTAATGATAATAAAACATTTCAAAACATATCAATGCAACTTTATTGCAATTAACCTAACCGAACTAGTACGGGTTAGATACGATAAATAAAAGTTACAGTTGTTTTTATGTTTTACCTTCAGTACATGGGTGTCTACTTTAATCTTACAATCTCAAAAATTATCCACATATACATATAAAAAATCAGTCTTTTGTTTGTATATATATATGTGGATTATTTTTGAGATTGGTAGATTAAAGTAGACATCCATCTAGGGAAGATGAAACATAAAAATAACTGTGTAAAAATAACTGAAAGCAAACTGAAACATGAAAAAATACCTGTAAGTGGTAACTGGTAACAACTTAACAAGTAACAACTAACAAGTTGACACTACATAGGAACAGGCTGAGGTTTACAACATTACACCGAAATCTTTCGTACAGTTTTATTCTGTAATTTAGATTATGTATGTATCATGCTGGTTTTTAAATATTTAATACTATTAAGTAAAATCTAAAGGCTTTATCTATAAATGTTGCGGTAGCGCTGTAGCGGCAAAAACACGTATTGCTACTTAAATCTGTAGCGGGCGCTACCGCTACCGCTACATTGCCTTAAATGTAGCGCCGCTATACCGCTACCGCTACTGAAAATGTAGCGGCCGCTGCATGTCGCGCGCTACTGCCCACCTCTGTATGATAAGATCCTAATTGGGATTGACTAAGATCCTCCTAATTCATAGTCGTGACGGTTGTGGTTGACGTGAGTTGCAGGACTTTTGGCTAGTTCTCTGATGTAGTTATACTGTTGAATTTCATGTAATAGTGTTCCGTCAAATTTCAGACCTATGCAAAATAATTTTAACCACTGCAATCAGACACCGTGTTCAGTTAGCATCCGATATCCTGTTTATTGTGTTTTTCATATTATTTAAAATTATTCCAACTACAAACTTTGATTACTTGTATATATTACTCTCCTAGTCAGTTCAAACGTGAAGACCATTGCTGGAATGGTTCGTAACCACCCGAGGCTGCAAATCAGCGGTAACAGGCACAACTGGTATATCTTGGCCATGGTAACAATGCTTCTGCATTAATTTAACTGATAAATTTTATTACGTAACAATATCTTAACGTTAATGCAACTGGTCATTGTAACAACGTTTCGGCATAAGTTAAACTGATATATTTTATTACGTAACAATATCTTAACGTTAGTGCAACTGGTCATTGTAACAATGTTTCGGCATCAGTGCAACTAGTATGTCTTGGTAATGGTAACGAGATTTTTGAGTCACACTGACTTCGAACCGCAAAAAATCAACCCGTTAACGCTATACGAAGAGCATCGAGATCTATTATAATAAAATCAACATTTACTGATTTCCGCATCCTGTCTCTCGAACTTAACTACGGAGAAAGTTTATTACAAATCTTAATTATTCGCCTAATCTTTTTAGAAGGCTATTTTTATGACATTAAATTTGCGCAAAAACTTGCTTGTTCGGAGTGGAAACTGAAAGTAGATCAACAATCTAAGAGTGAATGTTCTTGCTCGCTTCCAGGTATAGAGACCCAAATTTTACGAGAATTTGTTTATTTGGTTTATATCGTAATTATAGGTATATGAATACACAAATTCCTACAAAAACCACAAATTAATCAGAAGAGCGATGTCAAATCAGCCAAGAATTTACAGTCGAATTTGCTTTGGTCCTGTAGTTGAAGATGCTCCTCGTGCAGACCTTTGGATTCCATCCTGTTGGCAAGAGAAGATCCGCGAGGTTAAGACCCACAAAAACTGGCTGGACTTCTTCACTTTCGACCTCACATGCATCGTCTTTGGAAAGGAGCAAATATTTTCTACGCATATGGAGCTCAGTTTAATTGTTTTAACAAAATTCTTTGTGTATTTTTTTGGTTTTAACGCACAATTATTGTTCACACTCATGAGTTTTCTTCACATCGGTGTAGACACTAATTTGTTTTTTTATTCACCGGAGTGGAGTAACGTATCGAATTGGAAGTGGTAGAAATTTCGTTATTGAAAAAAAAATCGAATCTTCAATTGATGCATATGATAACCTGAGTGTCCGCATCCCTGGGAGCAATCTCTATAGAAGAGTTTTAGAAATTTTTATTCACGTTAATTTTATAAAACCGCACAAGCGCAAAAAACCGCATCATCAAAAGCGTTACAATAGCAATGCCCTTCAATTTTTTCTCTTCTAATATAATACTGTTCACGCAAATTCGTTTTTAAAATGACTGATTTCGAACGTCTTCAATGCAGTAGTGTATGATAAATTTTATATTTATCGCTCAAGTTGATCGCTCCTGAAAATTTCAACTCTACACGGTTTTAATTAAGGAGAGCATAACAGATTTTTTGATTCCGGTTGATCAGCCCTGGCTTCAGAAACCAGTAGCTCGACACTTACCAAAAAAAACGCATAATATGCTAATTAACTTTCCATGTTATCAATGATACTACGTACTGCCCAAAATTCACCCCACGCTCCGGTGATTAAGACTAACCATTTGTTTCAAATTAAAAATGATCAATCAATGGCTACTCAAATAAAATATTTTCCATTCTATATGTTCCGCTACTAAAGTAAGTCAACTTAGTTCGGGAGCTTGGTGACGCGTAATTTAAAAGGAAGAATGAAGTTCAAGACTTGATCATTGTTTCCTTATATTTCGGCGTCGAAACCTGCACAGGATTCTTTAAGAGTATGAACATACAAGACACTGAGATCATGGAATGATAATTAGTTTAATGAACACAGTTCCAAAAGGGAGCTGCTTAAATCGAACATACAAGACAGCATGACCATATAGAATTATAATTAGTTTAATGAACGCAGTTCCAGAAGGGAGCTGCTTAATTTCAAGCGAGTGCAACATTCAAGACACGAGATCAATCGTACTATACTTAATCTAGTTAATCTCATCGGTCTGTATCATGATCCTAGTGGATTTCATAATTCATAGCATCAATATGAGGCACATACAATGAAACGGGCAATCATGAACCGTCGAGGGATTACATCTAGCTGACCACAACTGATTCTAACGGATTCATGTATTCAACATTAGCAATAATAAGGTGACTTCTTGAGGATCTGACAGAGGCAGGCTACTGCTAGAGTGCTACAGCTGGTCTACTTACCCAGCTGGCTGACTGCACGGTAATCAGCGTGAGGACCTCATTGAAGTATACATGTATACTCATTGTTTATACAAGGTCCCCGAAGGATTACTAGAATTTGAAACAAGAACCAACACCAGGGGCCACGGCTATTAACTAAAAAAACTACATTGCAACTTCTCCGCGCGCCAACATTTCTTCACGCTTCGAATCACCGACATGTGGAAAAGCCTCCCCGATTACATCGTTTGCGCACCAAGTATGAACGCGTTCAAGAACAGACTAGATAAAGCTATGGAAAAATATATGTTCAGATTTGAAATGCCCAGCACCATATCGAACCCGGTGGAAGTCTAGTAGCTACTTCAAACTATCGTCGGTCATGAAAAGATCCGGTCAAATGACACGATTTTAGATTTTCTGTGAACAAGGCACGAAAAGGAAAAGAATCGGCGACAGGCCAATCAGGCCTACACTTTAGCGCCGAGATCACTATGTAATAATATATGCAGTATATTATAATTGATTGTATTTTCAAATATTTTTGAACGTCATAATGATTATACTTTAAGCACAGAGCTGGGCAGCACTACTTTGAAATGTAGCGCCGCTACCGCTACATGCTCTAAATGTTGCGGGCGCTACCGCTACAGTAAAATGTAGCGCCGCTACATTAGCCGCTACAATGGCCAAAATTATTGGAAATCTCTAAATATTTATTGTTCTGCTATTGGGATTTACTCATAACCATTTAATGATAATAAAACATTTTCAAAACATATCAATGCAACTTTATTGCAATTAACCTAACCGAACTAGTACGAGTTAGATACATCATACAGTAAATAAAAGTTACAGGTATTTTTATATTTTACCTTCCCTACATGGATGTCTACTTCAATCTTCTAATCTGGAAAATTATCCACATATACATGTAAAAAATCACTCTTTTATTTGTATATATGTGTGGATTATTTTTGAGATTGGTAGATTAAAGTAGACACCAATGTAGGGAAGGTGGAACGTACAAATAACTGTAAGCAAACTGAAACGTGAAAAAATACCTGTAAGTGGTAACTGGTAACAACCTACCAAGTAACAACTAACTTGTTGACTGACACTAGTAACAGGCTGAGGTTGACAACATTACACCGAAATCTTTCGTATAGTTTTATTCTGTAATTTATATTATGTTTGAAATTCATGCTGGTTTTTAAAAAATATTTAAAACTATTAAGTAAAATCTAGAGGCTTTATCTATAAATGTAGCGGTAGCGCTGTAGCGGCAAAACCTCGTATCGCTACTTAAATATGGAGCGGGCGCTACCGCTACCGCTACAATTGCTTAAATGTAGCGCCGCTACCGCTAGTAGCGGCCGCTACATGTAGCGCGATACTGCCCACCTCTGTTCATCACAGTCATGCATAAAAGCAACAGAGCAATGGCATTTAATACCACTTAAAGTCTTCAAACAGAAACTATATTGCAGTACACCTTCTGAACGTTTTTTATTTTCCACAAGTTTTCTTTGAAGTGGGGGCGTAACATTTGTGTTATGTGTACAAACGACAGCTGATCCACTTCAACTGAAGTAAGGCAGAATACGGTTGTAAACAAGGAACTGGATTCCGGTATCGTTACCGGCGCCTATCTTGGAAATAAGATTATAGTAAGTAAGGGAGTTTGTCCATATGAATTTTACTGTATTTCAATTGGTAATTACATATCTTTTTTTTTAGTTTCAAATCTGTATTATGCTACAAAACTTATGTGAGCAACGACTGAACGGTCTGAACGACTGAACCCTGAGCCTGAAGCCGCTGAAGGTCTGTAGTAGTTTCTCTGGACTTGCACTAGGTTACAGGTAGTCTGTAGTGACGGCACTATCCACTACGAAGTCTCTATAGTCTGTACTCAGTACTCACTAGTGACTAGTCACTACTGAAACTGAAGCTGCACCAAGTGCAGTGAACTGAAGCAGAAATTTGAAGTAGGAAATTACTTTATTCACAAGAATTAAAAAGCATTATAACATTCTGCACTCGGCAGTTATTACAAGTATAATGAGTTATAGAGCGTCAGTTTACATTCCTAAGTAGGTTAGTTTAGTAGTAGGACTAAGAAACGATGGATTTTAGAAAATTTATATTATATTATGAATTATACACTAATATTTAAAAATAATAATTAAGTAACTTCTCATTTTTTATCATTTTATGTAGGTATATCCGTGAAAAACCATGATAATGATAATCATATTGTAATACTAGCTACCTATTAGTTATTACTACCCATATGGCATAACCCATGTGTATAAAGTAGGAAATTAGGTAAAAAAGTAGGAAATGGATAAATTAGGATAAAGTAGGAAATTAGGAATAGACTAACATTAATAAATGAGAATTGGACATTTTTCATTGCAATACAGGCCACTATACCTACATTTTTGAAAGTCTGAAAGAATTCTTTTGAAATTTACATGAAAATTAATTATGTAATCAAGCAAGTATGCATCAACAAATAACAATCAAGTCTATCTTGCTTTCATGTAGCTACTATGAAAATATCAAATTATTGGATTTGGATCTAGTGTATAAGGATTTCAGGTGTCAAACTAAATCAGTAAAATTATTAATAGCCTCTTCATCCTTCATGTATTTATGTGATTTTTTTAATGCTATTGTCAACTTTTGCAGGTGTGAGTGGCTACTGTGCAGTGTGTGTCAGCCTGCCATACTGCCTAGTCAATAGCTGTCATTGTATTATCATTTAGGGCAATGCAAATTCATATAGTAAAATATTTCTCTGCTTATTTGATATAAAATTCAAAGTTAAATTTTTCAAAATGATGCAAGATATACATGAAGGTGCCAAGCCTTTAAATTCAAACATTTTAGCACCACTAGCTTCAGAAAACAATTGCCAGTCACCATTAACCACCACCATAGCAGAGGCAATGCAGGGCAATGGACCAGAGAAACCCATCTGTGATGTGGTTGCTGCTGACAATGACAGCGGCAGCAGCAGTCCTGAGCCGCCTGAGCCGTGGTCTCCTCGCTACACAGTCTCCTTCAGCAACAAAGTTACCAAAGATGGCTCAGCTGTCACTTTCACTATTATTGTTGGACAAGGAGGACTAACAGTGAGTCAAACTTCTCTTCACACTGCTTGCAAGAAGACAGCTTTGATTGTGAATTTTTTAGGTTTTTAAATAATTTTACCTACCATTCTATCTAATTTCTCCCTAAATAATATATATACATACAAAAGAGTAATGAAGCCTTTTGTTATGTACTGATGTTATTTTGATGAATATATCCATGGATAACTAATTTTGCCAAAGGTGTAATAGCTACAGCAAAATATTATGGTTTAACATCCTTTAATGTGAACTAAAATTAATTTCTATTCCCTTCATTATTATCTGTATTAGGAATATCTGTATCTGTATGATTATCTGTATTATGTGATTGCAGATACAAGTTTTGGAGCGTGTATATGAAGACTTTGTATACCTGGAACACTGTGTCACCACAGACCAGCCTTGTGAGGGCATCATTGTACCTCCCTTGCCTCCTCCTCCCACTACTGATGCAGCTCTTGCTGAGACTGCCAGTAAGAAACAGATGGGCAAGGGTAAGAACTGTGAATAAAATTAATTACATATTTTCTTATCTGTAGTAATTAATGATAATAATAAATGCTCAAATGCTAATTAATGCCAATAGGTGGAGAGAGTTGAAGCTCAATTTTTCTCAGAATTATTTTAATTATATTGTTTAAATGATTAGAAAAAGATGTAATCTTTCTGTAAAGATGTACCAGTAATTAGCTACAAGTAAAAAGATGTAATCTTTGTGTATATTTGGTAGCTAATTGATGCTCTTTGTGGAGTGGGTCATATGATAGGTACCTATTGATAGTTATAGGGTGGTCATTGTTACATGGGTTATTATTTCACTGGGTTATTATTATGCATCCAAGGCCTATTCACAATATTTTGAGGGATTGTTTGGATAAATAATGTACTTGTTGAATGCAAAGTGCTGATTCAGAATTTTAATGGGTCCTAAAGGTTCAGCATCAAGCTGTAAAAGGTAAAGCATTGAGTAAAGATAAAAGTATGTATGGTTTTATAGCTTAGGGGCAAGAGTTGGTGAGACTAGGAAGTTACCGGTATGCTTTAGCGATCTCTTTGGCACTGTATTTTGTGTTATTGTACATTGCTTTTGTATCACAAATAACCTGTACAGTACTCAGCCACAAACCTTGATTGAATGTTACTAATCGAGTTCACAGTGTCATCAGAACACATACCGGTATACTTTAGGAATCTTAGTTTAAACCTTAACCCTTAGGAAAAAATATCACTAAGTTGTTAAACCATATAGTTGCCACAGAACTTCCACTAGTGGCTGGCTGTGAATAGTCAGACTTTATACGAATTTAATTTCTTCAATTTTGGGATTCTTGTTAGTTTTATTATGAGATTACTGAATGCTGAATGGTTATATGAACATTCATAATCTTTATATTTGCACTTTAAACTTATATAATCGGACTGTTGACATTCAGGTTGCTTGGTAAATCGTTGGAAGTACATACATGGAACTATCCACTTTTAACCAGCTTCTCCAAATCCTGTCAGTTACATTATCTTCAGTGTTACATTGACGATTATTCTATGTGAACCATTAAGTGCATTGTTATGCTCTTATCATTATATCATCTGCTGTGTTTTACTGAGTACCGTATTACTGATAAAATGCATGTTGCTTGCTCGGTATGCAGGCATAGAGGATGTTTCTCAATTGTCATGTAGTAGATATAGTATACCATGTTAAAGATTTTTTCAGATTTTTCTACAGCATTATCAATACTAATAAATATATATAATATCTGTATTTCTACTGCTGCACTCCCTATCCAATTTCTAAAATTTATTAATTTAGTCATGTTTTACCTTCTATACAACATACTCATCCTCCATCACTTGAACTAAGTTTCATCTGTTCTATTAACCTTATTTTATCTTAAGTATCATTGTTTTGGTGAAAAAGAATTCAAATTTAACCCTTACTCTGAAATTTAACCCTTACTCTGTCACTAATTTCTTGTTCACTGTAGAAAAATTCATTCCAGAAATGCTCAGTTTGTCCTAATATTAAATTTCTGGGTTGCGTCAGGCTCGCGGACGTTGTTGGGTGACAACTTCCACAAGGACAGACTGCAGCTGCAGAAATATCTTGAGCTGCTTCTTGCCCACCCCATCCTGGGCCGCAGTAACAGACTTGAGAGCTTCCTCACTGTCAAGGAGGCACCACCGAGAGCAAAGGTCTGTAGACTTCTTTCAAGGAATATAAATGCAAAAAATGACGCATATTCAGCATATCTTAATAAAAGAAAACGATTTGAAATCCAGCTACATTAGCAGTTCGATTGAGGTTGACACCAAAAAGAGCTCTGAAATTAGCCTTGAAATGTTTCAAGTTTCTGTAATTTTTGTTCATTATTATCATTATGGTTGAGTTGCTACTGCTAACGATATTTAGCGATATTTCACAGTTCGCCCTTCAGAAAACTTAACTCATTAATAGCAGTTATAACAATCAGTTCACTCACAACAACTTTAATTGAGCATCCTTACAGTGTCCCGTCCAGTCTTAACTCCCGACTTAAACTCAAATAATTTTCCCTGATCCGTTCCAGCTGCAGTTTCTTAGTGAAGTCTTGTCTAGTCTGGACGCCCGACTTTCCTCATATAATTTTATCTGTTCCATGTCTACTGCAGTTATCCTAACGAAGTTCTGTCTAGTTTGGTCGCCCGACTTTCTCGTATAATTTTATCTGTTTCATGTCTGCTGCAGTAATCCTAGCGAAGTCTAATCCTGATTCCTGACTCAGGACTCTCTCATACAATCTATAACTCCTATAACATTCCCCGTTTTCAGCTGCGTAAAGGTTTGCTGTCACGCCTCACGGAATCCATGGAGGGCCGGCGCCCTGTGGTGCCGGACTGCGAGGAGTTCTTCCAACGCGAGCGCGCCTGGCTCACGCGCAGCCTGCCCGCCATGGAGCAGTTTGATGCCGCCTTCCACGCTTACCTCCACGCCAACCAGAGTGCGTCAGTACCTTCACGCTAGAGTGAGCCGTAGTTAGCAATTCCTACTCTCCACGCCAGAGTGAGCCGTAGTTAGCCATTCCTACTCTCCAGTCTCCACGCTAGAGTGAGGCGTAGTTAGCCATTCCTAGACCCCAAAAGTGTGATGGCAATACAGCGTTGCTGGATAGGTCAGAAGAAACTATTGCAGGTTTTTAGCGCATTTTCTCATTTATGGAAAAAATGCACTATTGTGCTCGTCATGTCCGTCCGTCTGTCTGTCTGTCCGTCCGTCTGTCCGTGACCTCAAGTTTTCGTCTACGAGAAAATGTGCTCTCTTTCACTCACTGCAGTGAGTACTGAGTTGCATTTTTTTATTTGATCGGCAACTGTACACAGCGTATTCCAATCTTACTCAATGCGCTTACTGTCACTAACTTCAACCAATTATTAAACGCGAGCAGAACTACTTATTTATTCAACTTTATTGATGTTAATCTTGTTAAAAATCAAGTTTGAAGGTAGATACTAGTTAATTCTAATTAAGCTCTCAAGGTTCCAGCCTAAATATATTAACACATCATAGAGATTGACATCATCGTCCATTAATTTCAAGCTTCTTATTCTCTTCTCTAACACTCGCACCGCCTTAAGTCCTGGTAACTTTATGCGCTGGCTGAACGAAAACAGAGTCTGATCTATGGCTTGAAATTAGCATATAGGTTAATTTCAATGAAAAAATAAATCTTGGTGAGGAAAGCTTTTTGGCTGACGGGAAGAAACATTGACCCATACCGACCAGCTCCGCCATATCGGATAAGGTGTTGAATGTTACTTCACCGATCGAATTTTCCCGCACTGAATCTTACATTTGGCGCCGTTTTGTTATCTTGCCAGGACTGCTGCTGTCACTTGTCACTCTGTGTTGCCAGGACTGCTGCTGTCACTTGTGTTGTGCTGTGTTGCCAGGACTGCTGCTGTCACTGGACCAGGTTAGCACAGCCCTGCGTTTGTGTGCTGGTGCCAGCAATGCTAAGCAGCGCTCGCCGGACGCCGCCCTGCTCACCCACCTCACCTCCATCTTCGTACACACCATCGACAACTGCAGGGTGAGAGCTAGCACTTCAAAAAACGTCTCAGAAGAAGTTATCACAATTATTCTATCATATTCTGTTATTCTACATATTCTATATTGATATTCTTTCCTCCATCTTCGTACACACCATCGACAACTGCAGGGTGAGAGCTAGCACTTCGAAAATGCTTGAGAAGAAGTTCTTATATTATCAGTCTGTTTATATCGCAAGTTCACCTGGAATTTAAAAGCAAAGAAAACGCCAAGCAAATTCACCATATCGATATTGAAAACCTTTCGGAGTCTAGCTCCATCATCAGTTCGACAGTCTAAAAATGAATACAATCATTTTAAAAGTCAAAATTCTAAGTCAGACATAACCTAAAAAATACATAACATTAAATCGAAAAAAGGGGCTCGCGGAACACTGAGTCATAGTAGACACGGAAAGAATAAAACTTGAGAAAGTTTTGTTCTTTATTATTCTCCTTAGTTTTATTCTTTTCGTGTCTCCTATGACTCTGTGTTCCGCGAGCCCTGTTTTTCAAATTAATGTTATGTATTTTTTAGGTTATGTCTGACTTAGAATTTTGACTTTTAAAATGATTGCTTTCATTTTTAGATTGTCGAACTGATGATGGAGCTGGACTCCGAAAGATTTTCAATATCGTTATGGTAAATTTGCTTGGTGTTTTCTTTGCTTTTAAAATCCTTCAAAAGAAGTTATCACAGTATTCTATCATGTTCTATTATCCTATATATTCTAAATTAACATTCTTTCATAATATCATTCTATCAAACTGTTATCATTGTAGATTTGGTCCGACACTCTTATTATGGTAATGTTGTATCAGATATAATTAGTTACATCTCAGGAAGACATAATAATTCAAAAAAATGAACAGCAATACAAAATAAGGAAAATCACTAGTATAGATACATACTGTACAAAATAACCAAGTTTAATCTAATGTTGAGGTAGGTAATTGTCTCCAAATAGATGACGATACAATAAACTTCCTGAATTTTACATACATGCTAATTATTTTAGATCCTTATGCTTCCTTCCCAAGCTCAAATATAATTCATAAGTACCAGCACTGCAACCGCGCGCTTGATAAGGCCAAGCCTAACAGGAAGGACGCTGTGAGTACCAGCACTGCAACCGTGCGCTTGATAAGGGCTAACCAAAATGATCCTTCAAGTTCCTGTTATTATTACTTATTGAGTATTGAAGCTCTGCATGATTCCCGCTGTCAGTCTCAACCGCTGCCTTGGGAAGCCAGCCCCGACAAAAAATGTAAGTATTGTGTTGGTCGGAATTTCACAAGAAGAATTTTTCTTAATATAATTTTTATCTTCGAATTTCCTAATTACTAATGAATACGTATCTCAATAATAATTGTTAATATAATTGTTTTTTCGTTATTGTAATTGTTTTTTCGTTATTTCATTATAGAATTTTGAAAATAATATCACGCGCAGAGTTCGCCACATGAACCTCCAAGACCGATACGCTTTCAATTCATTAAATGTTTCTCAAAATAACGAATGACGGCATAGNCACGAGTTCTATTCTGCCACTCCACTTTTGGCTTCCAATTTACTTGCATACGCCTCAAAATTATCTTGATAAACTAGTGGCTGCAGAGCAAGAGTATATAATACTTACAGCTGCTGAAACGTGTTCAATTATCGCTCGAGCACTGCTCGAAATATCTTCGTCTAAAGTGATAAACTGTCCGACTGGCGTCTTGTTGGCCGAATACTGTATGTTGTTCGGCGAACTGTTTTTTGAGGTGCTGCAACTGCTGCTTGCATGTGAATTGAAAACTACTCCCGCAGAAAAAATGAGCTCATAGTGGCTCCAAGGAAAAAAAATCGTCCGCGATTATATAAAAACCTATGATCTGGATTTTTCATCACTGAGATATCGAGAACATGAACCAGTTCTAATGCGTAGAATATTATCGCAAAACTTCTTCGATCGCTTGAACATGTTAGTGGTTGAGGTTGTGTTATTCACTTGAAATGTGAGGCGCCTTTAACAACTGATTCTTGTTTTTTATTAACCGATTAATGTTGCGATTTACCGAGGAGTCGTAAATGTAAATAAAAATAACCCTATTTACAACGATTATATTTTGTCCGTATTTTAAAGATAGACTGTTAGACGAAGAACCGAATAGTTGTTTGTCTAATTTGTGATCGCAATATTGTTTAAATTATTTAAGATGCTAATCTCGACACGTTTCATCATCTGTTAAGTCAAATTATTGAGCTTAACATCGCTACATTAACTTTCTGGAAATTTGTAAAAGTGAACTATATTCGTTTATTTGAGAAAACGTGACAAGCATACATTAAAATTTGCTTGCTCTAGGCGCGGATAATAAATAAAAACTTGATGTTTAAAGTTCGTTCATTCTTAGGTCAAAAAACCGTATTCGCTCTCATCAAAAAGCTATTAGCTCTTCTTCAGTCGTCTGAGAAAAAACGATAAATGGTAATGATATATTCATGTTTATGAACATGCAACGAATATTTACCGTTTAACTCTCTTTCATCGAACAATGTAGCAATCACATACATGAGAATCTTTCGATATGTTCTAACCTATTCCATCCCATCCCATCCCTTCCATCCTGGACAAAATATTGCGAATAAATATGAATGGTCTTTCCGCTGAGCATATGTTCTTAATAAAAAATTAAAACTCGAAAAATTGCTAGTTAATGCCTGAGATATGAATATTTTTGGATATAAAAAGCTGTGAGCTTTCTCCGGGCATAAGGCTTGCTTTCTTGTGACCCGCGCCCGGCATCGCGTACGCCTGACGGCAGGAATTAATGCCCTGTGCTCTGCTGACCCACTGCCCTGTAATGCCCGCTCCAGCCACAGCCTTCAGCTGCTGCTACTACCTTATAGAAGACACTGCAGGCTCCAGCTGCTGCTGCTACCCCTTAGGACACTGCAGGCTCCATCTGTGCTGCTGCTGCTACTGCTGCTGCTACTACTACTACTCCTTAAGACACTGCAGCCTTCAGGTGCTGCTACTGCTGCTGCTACTCCTTATGACTCTGCAGGCTCCATCTGTGTTGCTGCTGCTGTTACCTCTTAAGACACTGCAGCCTTCAGCTGCTGCTACTCCTTATGACTCTGCAGGCTCCATCTGTGCTGCTGCTGCTGTTACCTCTTAAGACACTGCAGCCTTCAGCTGCTGCTACTCCTTATGACACTGCAGGCCCCATCTGTGTTGCTACTGCTGTTACCACTTGGGACACTGCAGCAGCAGCTGTGCTGCTGCTTCTGTTACCTCGTAGGACACTACAGCCTTCAGCTGTGCTGCTGCTGTGATTACCCCTGAAGACACAGCCGCCTTCTGCTGTACTGCTGCTGTTACCACTTATGACAAAGCAGGCTTCATGCTTGTGCCTGTTTATTCCGGTTCCGTAATTGTGACCTGATGGTAGTGGCGCAGTATTGTATATGCTGGCGATATCGCGGCAACCTTCAGCCCAAGCAACCGCTCTTGTTCTTGTTTCCGTTCCTGTTAATATTGTGGTCGTTGTTTCCTTTGAGATGATTGCTGTAGTATCTTGACGCTAAGGTTAACATTTTACCTGTGATTGTCTTTGTACCGGTAGCTTAAAAATTCTGAAGTTTCGCAGATTGTTTTTGCCTTGCTGTATTTATTTTGATTTTCAATGTTGCTACTGATGCGACTACTGTTCATATTATAAAATTGAGTTTTTTGGTAATGTGAAGGAAGTAACTCGCTGTTCTTGACCATATATTGCCCATTACTGTCACCAGTCACGCAAACGATAATGCACTGGCGTTGGCGTTTTCTTTTGCTTCCGCAGAAATTGTTTCTTTGCTGCGTCGGTATCATGATTGTCTTTTTATTGTAGTTGATTTTTTATTGATATTTTTCGATTCATGTTGCTGCTGCACGCGTTGGAAAACATTAGATGCTGCTGTAGTCCTGTTCATTCTAGTGGTCTTCTCATGAACGAGTGTGACGCACGACTGAAATTGTCGTGCGGACCCATTTCCCTGCCCGTGCCCAACTTTCTAGGGTAAATTGACTCTTCAATTTTTCTTATTGCTTTGCAATCTGCGTTCTCGCGGGCTTTGCGATACTTGCTTTGTTCCAGTTGCGGATTTGTTAAAATTTGCTTCCAGTTAGAGAATCAAATGTTGTTGGAGATGATGCATTTTTCCCCGCTTCTCCCTTGAATGTCATCAAACGTCCGTGGGTTTTTCGTAATATGTATTCATTTTGTGCTAATTTCCCAGAAAAATACTTTAATTCGAGGAAATACTTGAGCTAGATAGGATAACTATTTGAGGCGTTCGTATATAGGGCGTGAAATTTTCAATGGTTTCAGTGGTCACTAACTCAGCAGCTGTTGATGATGCCGGCGTGGGCCATTATTTCCAGTAAGGTTATTGCGCTGCTGCGTCAGCCTTTCAACGCTGCGTCATGCCATATGCTTTTTATGGGATTTTATTTAGCTGCTTGTGATGCCTTTCATTGTGGTACGCGATACTGACATACATTCCTTTGTATGCCTCTGCCTCCGACTTCGACTTTCACGAACACAGGAAAAATATTACCGTCATTCTGCTGAAAGCTGTTCTTCCAATTTGTTCAAATTACACTAGGGCTTTGATTTAATTTGTGAAAAATTATGCTAAGTTAAGATATATTCTACCATATGGGATCATGGGAAATTTTTTGTATATCTGAACCTGGCGATAAGTGACCAATGGAATCTTGAAGCGTCCTTTCAGATCTTCAATGGATCAAGCGGCAATTTGTCCGATTGTTTCGATAAATTTTCGGAAAATTTCTTTGGCGTTTCTTAGTTGCGTTTATGTTTGCCATTTTTCAGTTTTTTCATTTATTTTTTTATACATGAATTTTACCTTAATATCGACCATCGTGATGTCTTGAAAACTCCTAGGGTGTGCAAATATTGTCGCAAATTACTTCGAGAGCGTATTTTAGGATGGTTTCCATGCCGGCCATTATATATTGCAAGACGGTGGTTGAGATTGAGCATGATATTTTTATTTCAATTCATACAATTGAAATTACGTCAAGTTTTAAGCAGAAAAATATTTCTGAAATTTCGAATCAGGGTTTGATTTCGGGTTCTTTTTCTAAATGTTGGTTTAAGGAATTTTTCCTTTACTTAGTAATATTTTTCAACCATTATAATAACGTCCATTATATATAGCAATTACTTTTTAAGCAGCAGTCTAGCTCGAAGATCCTCTTACTGGACCGGTAAAATTCCTTACCTTCCGGGCATAGGCAACTTCTTCATTATGAGCATATTTGGTAATTGCGTTATTTGATTACGGAATTTTGTGATTGATTAGAATATCAACAATTTTTTTACTATTGATTATATTATCCGAAATCTTGAAAAATTTATAAGATTCTCACTAATTTCTTTCGTTCTGTGGAGAAGGAATTTTCTGCACTGTTTAACGGTAATTAGGAACTGAAATAAAACTTATTGTTACATATAAAGTAACACTTGTTTTATGCATAAGGATAGAAGAAAAATGGTAGCGGTATACTCGTATCACACACACGCTGGTTTACAGAACGTGACGTTTGCGTTGCTTTAGTTGCTTCTCCGTTGCTCCGTTTGCGTTCTTCAATTAAACATGGCTTCTTTAAAATGGGATTTTTCATAAAGTTAAATTTATTTCAAATCTTCTCGCTTATGCAAGCTGACGTCTTCTCCAAGAAATTATTCGAACTATTTATTATTCGTGAAATGTGCTATTTATAAAGTCGGAAGAGTCGACATTTATAACATCGCCTACGTGTTTGGTGATCATTTTTAGATTTCTATTAAAATATTATAATTCTCCAGCCGTTTCATTATTTTTGAAATTGCCTTTTCGTATATTTCAGTAATATTGTTTCAACAATATTGTTAAATCTCAATGTCACTTAGAAAAATATTTATTCATCATAATCATGTACCGGCTGCAGGTAATTCTTGTATTACAATATGTCACTTAGAAGGATAGTTATTCATCATAAACATTTACCGGCAGGAGTTTATGCTTGTATTACAGTATCTCTATTACAATATCTCTGAGAAGGCCCAGCGAGG